AGACTCGGTCTGCTCTCGCGGCATAAAGCACCTCTATATTTACGTTAAACGTTTCTTGCTGCTGAAGACAAGCTTACTGAGGTAGACATCTACTTTAAATTCATGGTTATACTGGAAAGGAACATGATCCTTAGACAAAATTAAAAATTCAGCCGTTCTGACAACGCTTTCATCCACGTCACAAATAAGCATCCACTGCTTGTTCTGCAATTTAGGCAGAATACAGGCAGGCAAGCAGAAGAGTTCATCGGTTGATGAACACAACGAGAATCTCTGAAGCACATCAGCTGGTTCTGACAGAGCAGTTTTAGTGCTCCTCTGCACTGTTTGGTTCAAGAATAGTGCAGCATTAGTCATCACCTCCAGAAATGAATACCAAAACATAACAACTACATTTCCCAAGCCAGGCTTAAGCTTTCTAAGATCTGTGCAAAGCAGGCTTCTTCTGAGCCTGACCCCCAAATACACCAGCATATTCTAGCACACCACTGTCAGAAGATACCACACAGCTGTGAGCTTGTATACACCCTACATAAAATACTCTGCACCATCGGCTTCCACACACCAAGCTAAAGGAAAAGTTAACCACTCTCTTGCTTCCTTTGCAAAATATTATAAACTCTCTTTAATCTAGAAGGCTGATAAGCAGCAGGGGCCAGCTAACACAATTCTGCAGCAGATGGAAACCATGGCTGGTACCCATCAGTTCTATGGGAATATCAAACACACAGTTCCTTCCTTCCTTCTGTTCAGCTAAGAAAAGGAACTGAACCACCCCTCCTCCTTTTTTTTTTTTTTTTTTTTTTTGAAAAGCAGTGTCAACATAAGCACCTCTTCATCCTCCCTGTTTCCCTATCCCATCCCTGTTTTGCTATTAGAGCAAACTAGATCCAGGCTTTTTAATTTCTCCAAATTCCGAGTCATATCTTTCACCTGATTCCATTGGCATAACTGAAGAGAGAGGCAAGAAACAGAGGGTGCATCTTCGTGAAACCAAAACTACAGACTAAAAGGAGGAAAGAAAGAAGCATCTCAAGAAAGACTTCGGGATGTCATTTCACGTGTTCTCCAGCAAAACCAGAAAGGTCATTTGTGACATTTTCAAACACAGTTGAGGAACAACACATTTGCTTTTTCCTCTCCCAGTGTCTACACCCAATCTTGGGTCTCAGTTATACTTAAAGAGTCCCAGAGCGCACAGAAGCCTCATCTCCAAGTATCTCTAAGCCAAAAGCTAAAACTGAGGAGAAAAAGCAGATTCAGCCACACAAGCACGCCAATTCAGCTGACTGCACCAGCTTTTAAAAGGCATCATATCGAGACCCTACCCACCTTAATTAAAAGCTTTGCTTCGCTTTGGCAAGGGAAAAAATTTCACACCTAGTAACTACAGCCATTTCTGCACCAGAAATAATTCTGCACCCAACAGACCTATGAAACAGCACCAGCAAGCTACTGTAACACACCTCCAGACAATATTTCATCCTGGCACCAGACAATGTGTTCCTGTTCTCAGCAACAAAACAGCCTCCACTTGGCCTGCGTGTTTCACACCACCTCTGCTCCCACCCACGGGCCAGATGCGAGGCCCTGTGGGTACATGGGTGTTCCTCTATCCCCTGGATGACCCTGATCAGTCCATGAGATAAGGCAGCAGCAGGATGGGAACAAAACACTGCCAGGCTGCTTCAGCACAAGGCCACGGAGACAGCTGTGCTGGCACAGCCCAACGCAGGAGCTGCTCATGGATGGCATCTCCGAACAGCAGATTTCTGTCTGGTTAGTTTTTGTGACCATATGGGTGTCAGTGCCTGCACAGAGCCTCTGCAGCAGGTTAGGAGTTACTACCGTAACTCCAAATCACACCCAAGTCTCTTGCTGGATATCAGCAGTTAGGGACACCTGGGAGACTCTGAAACTCCAGGCAGTTCTCTCCTCAGCCTCCCCAAAACTCCCCACAACCAGTTTTTATCCAACCTCCCTAATGGAGAAAAATCTTGCTTAAATTCAGGTGTAAGATCGTGGTTCAGACAGACAACAGCATGCCAATTGCAATGATTTCCAAGTTCATATTTTTAAGCTGAATAGCAGGGTTGCACCCCTCTGGCACTGTGAAAACATAAAAGCATCCATGAGACTAATTTCCCAACTGAAAGCACTACAGGATTTTATCTATTTGAGGATTTACCGTTAATCCACTCTTCAGAACTTACACAAACACCAACCACGTTGGTGTCCACGTGACAACTAGCAGGAAAGCGAACAGAGCACACTGATCCCATCCCAGGCAGCACCCCACAGAGCAGCTTCTGAGCAGGTGGGACTGTTTGAGGCAGTGAAGCGCTGACCCAGCTGGCAGGCAGAGCCAGGATTTCGCAATGTACTTGTACAGCCTGCACCGAGTGCCCATCATGCACTCCCTTGAACTTCTAGCTTCGTTTAGTCAAGTACAATTCCAATCCTCCTGGCTGTGGTGATAACCTTGGAAACACAAGTCTTGATATCTGCTTGGGTACGTAGGCTCTTGGAAACAGTGACTCACGCGTGAATTTCCCCTATCCATTAAACTCCAACTGTAAGCACTTAGGAAGCAATAACAGTGTTTTGATGTCCGGGCAAAAATGGGGAAAACGGTTAGCCAAATTTGAGAGTGACTGTCAGGAACTGAAGCTGAGACTGACACTCTGGGGACAAAGAACAGGGAAGGGAAAGGAAGAGATGTTCTAACTTATGAAGCGCACATCTCTAGGCCAAACGGCAGCTCACTTAGCACCTGTTCCCAAAAGCCACATATTCCATATTTATCCAAGCAATATCCCTCAAAACAACGATTGATCTCAATTAATTAAGCGGAAAAACCTCCTTCACAAACCCAGTCAGAGACCTCAGTGAAAACTTCTGCTTTAGACCCCACTCTTGCATTTTGGAATCCACTGAAAGTTCTTCATATGCGACTGCCACATACACACAACTTTTATACCTGCAGCCTGTATCTATACCTATGCTCACTAGGCAGAAAGTAGCTCCTGTTCAGCACTCCCCTCCAGAAAATTTCAGCTGGTCAAAGCGGCACACTGATCTTCTGAAGGACAGAATACTTCCATCAGCTCTGACAAGCTGATTCCAGCCCTCATCTAAACAAGAAAGCTGCCCAGTCATCTATGAAGCAGATGACCAGAAGTACCTAGTTTTTCCTTAAGGGCAGTGGCTGGGCAGAAGGGAAACATTTCATTGCTACCATCTCCAAACTGGTTAAGCCACTCTTAGTTTTTCCAACAGCAAACATTCTCTAACTACACAAACTCCAGAAATTTTTAACTTACCCCAAAACAACTTAACAGGAATCCCAAATTCAAGCTTACGGTTAATAACATTTTGCTGGTTCCCAATTACACAATCTATAGGATGACACAGGACCCCAAACCACTTTCCAACTACTTAAGCTACCTAGCAGTACTCGACGCATTTTAGTTAGACATCTTTTGAAAGTTCTATTCTATCCCTACCGTGTATATCTCAATGAAGTGACAGGATACAAATACATATGGCATAAATGACGAACATTAGAATGTTCTCGAACTCAGTAACTGCTTCCAAGATAGAAGGGAAATGAGTCGTAACACATCACTTGGTGTTACCATGACAGCAAGAGCCTAACTGCTGCTCACTCTGACTGAACTAGATGTGCTCTGGGAATCTTACTTTTCAGTACTTTGGAACATTGAACATGTGCACCTGGTGCAGACACATGCAAACAACAAATAGCACAAACTATGTATTTTATTGTCCCATTTCTGCTTAACATACAACCCTTAAAATCTTTTAAAACTCTTTTTTTTTTTTTCTTTTTCCTTCCAGTGCAGAGGGTTCCTTTGTTAAAGCATCTGCTGCATAGAAGACATACTTAATGAGTATCACACACATGATTTCCAAACCAATACTAACACACCAAAGGGAAATATTTGCCATCTAGATACGCACTGTGTGCTTCAAATACAAGATAAATGCAATTTCCATTAACAGGAAAACAATCTGGTAACGTCATTTCCACTGCAGTTCTTAAACAATCCATGCCACTCTGCAGAAACAGCTTCACAGTTTACAAAGTGGCTAACGCAGACAGATTTCCTAAATTTAAACCAGAAAGGCCCACTCACACCTGCAGTGCATTTCTGCAGATGTCCCTGTACAACCTCACAAGTAACTGGAGACTACTGGAGACATGTTTAAGCGCATTTCATCTTAGTCCCTGGAAATATTCTGAAAACAATCTCACATGAGCAAATCAAGCACAGATTTACTAAAAAGGGATTTGGCCCTTGAAGAGGAGACAGAGAACAGGCTGCACTTGTTAAAGCGTGGAAGTGGGTAATGGGTAAACAGACACCACTTGCAGAACAACTAAAGGTAAAAACTTCATGTACAAAAAAAATCCACTATCAAAGCTCCAGGTTCAAAGAGTATATTCTGTAGTCTGAAAAAAAAAAAAAAAACCAACAAAAACTCACAGACTTCGAAATTCCCAAGTTGTAGGAGGTCTTAAAGACAGTAGCATCTTCTGGAGTGTGAAGGAGCTGAAGAGATAGAACTGAAATAATAACAGAAAGGCCATACAGGAAAGTTTTTCACCCAGTTGCAGTTATCCCTCCTGCACCATTTCACACATACTCAACCTGCACAGTTCAGTAAAAACAGAAAAAAAATAAAATGAATTGGGGTATAGTGGCCACCAACAAAACCAGGAAGCAATAGGTCCAGCAACTTAAGGCACATACAGAGAGTATGCCACCGCACAGTGAAAAAATGCACTTATAGCAAGTATTCATCCTACGAAAGGGAGAAGTGCAAATCAACGCTTATAGCCAGATAGATTGCAGAGTACAAATCTGACGTGTGCAAACAGCTACTTCTGCTTACTTAAGCTGATGAGTCACATGATTAACTGCCATACTTTGCATTGTTTAGATAAGGTGCAAAGGTACAAACAAGGAAGAACTTACCAGGACTTTCTACCCGCTTGTAGTGGTAAGGATTGATGCAAACCTCCTTCTGCTTTGAACCAAAAGGAAACTCACAGCATTCCAGTGGTTTCAGTTCATGATGGCTTTGCAGGTCTGGCCAGCGCCACACTCTGCAGTAAATTACATGTGGCAGCCCTTTCCGGTGTGAAACCTGAAGCCGGCCATCCAAGGACCGAGGAATTGTGACACAGTTGCTGGGCTGACCAGGACAACTTAACGCTTTCTCCAGCTCCTCCATAGCACCTTTCTTCTTCTTCAGTTTTTTCACTAGCGCATCAACAGCCTTCTCTGCCCATTTTTCTTCTTCATCTCCCTGCTTCCACCCCAACAGTCTCTTCACCGCTGGGCTGGTGAAGGAAAATAAACTTGTCACGTTCATGCTGACCCCACTTGGTCACACCGGATACCACAGACCAAGCAGGGGAGACTGTCCTGTTCTTCCACCGCAGCTGCACGGCAGATTTCAATCAGTAGTCAAAAGCAGCCTGCCCAAATAATGGTGGTGCTTCTGCTGTTTCAGTCCTCCCGTCCCAGGACGGCCATGCTGACATTCCCCCTTGACAGATGCAGCCTTCTCATCGTACTAAAGCCTTCCGGCTGAGAACCTGCAGGAGAAGAGAGAAAAAGGCAAACAGATTTTACGCTTTTAGTTAATCACCAACAGTTAAAAACATTCCACCCCTCAAGAGCAGTATGACCAAAGACCTACTGAACAACAACAAAACAAAAACACAAAGCGTCAGCAGTCTCAAGCAGTCTCAAAGGAACAGCCTGACAAGGACTTCTACATAGCAGAGCTTGCTGGTGAAGCCTTTATACTCTTGCTACCAAAACAGTCCTGAATAAATGAGGGGATTGCCCTGAAAAACAGTGACACTGCATAAACAAAACAAAACAAAGTTGGAGGAAGTTAGGGAAAAGCAGGAAATAAGTGCGAAGGTGGGGAAATTTAGAAGGTAGAAGGACAACTGCCCCTCTGCTCAGCTCCCTTAACCAACCTGCTATGTAACCTCAGCAATTTTTGTGCCATGCAGCAACGGCAACCGCATTTGCCAGCTTCAAATAATGCTTCTGCTCACTGCCCAAGTGTAGCCTTGCTTAGTGTTGTGAGAAAGCGGACAGAAAAAAGAAAAAATAAGTCACAATTGCAGTCCCTCACATACTTGCCAAAAGGACAAAGTTTTAGGAACAGTTAGGAACAAAAGGGCATTGTAGGAACGCAGTTTCATCAATTTCAGCTTAAAACAGTCCCCTATATTGCATCTTACACTGTTAAGTGAAAACTACACTCCTACAGCCTATCAACTTGGCAACTTCACACAGCAAAACATCCCAATAAACTCACGCAGCATGAGCAGTGCTTTTGGTTTTGGTTTCCCAGTGAAGATGAAAGCAAAATACCTCAACAGCACTACACTACCCAGCTCTCTGCAAGCACTACAAATTGAAAATTACTCCATGGGACCTATGCGTATCACGATCTGAGACAAACTGTTCAGCTTCACCTGAGTTACTTTGAGTGGCAAACCAAAAACAGAAAAGTAGCAAGATCCGTGCCCTCATTCATCTCTCCATAAGAAAGCAAAGCTCTGTCTTCCCAACCCATCAAGCAGCCCTTGCATAAACAGAATGAAAGGGAAAGACATCATGAACTTATTTCACTGACTACATCCTGATCGCTCCCTTCACAATGCCAGCCTGATGTGCTCAAAGACATGAAGGAGAGGGAAAGAGGAAAAACTGATATAAGGGTTTCAGGTTACCACCAGTGATCTTCAAGTTGGGAGGCATGAAACAGCAATGAAGTGATGGGTGAAGGTGGGAGAACTCTGCTTGCCGAGAAGTCCCCGTTACAGGACCTTCTGTGAGCAGCAGGCTTCACATTCACTCAGGTTAGGAGCAAGCAGGAGACTCACCTCTGTCACGGGGAGCAGGGGAACAAGGAGATAAGGAGCACTAAAACAGAAACATTCAAATGAAGCATGAAGACAGACGGGAAATGTATCCCAGAGGAGATATCAACAGGTCGCAGAAGAAGAGGAAGAGGATATAAATGTTTTTGTTACCACCAGACAAAAAACAAATAAATAAATCCATACAACTACCCATACACAGACAGGTTAGAAGGTATCAGAGCAACCATGAGCCTGAATTGCAAGTTTATAATAAAAAACAATTACAATTGAAATTGTAAATGTTGAGCCACACTTACGCTCCTAACTGTCGTAACTGTAATTTCAATGCGTACCTCTACACTTACAGCACTTGAAGCTGAAACCCATCCACTTGATTCAAGTAAGTTGTCACTAAAATAATTGCCTAACTGCAAAGGTTCCACTTCATTAGGTCAAATGCATAAACTACATTTATGTCAATAATGATCTTGAACTAAGATAAAGACCACATCTACCTGCACTTCGCAGCAGTACTTCCCATGTCTTTTACGCTGAGACTTCTACTTGAAATGTCAGCGCAATGGAAGATATGCATAAGCCTGGGGCAAATTTAACAATATATTTTGTTACCTGAGCATGAGCTATGCTGTTAACTGAACTAAAACTCCATTACTGTCACTGACTGCGCTCCAGGTATATTTTATCCTTATATACATTCAAAAGTGCTCTACTAAAATGCTGTTTTAGCTCAAGCATTTTATTATCAGAGATCCAGTACACTTGCTTCAGATGTGCATGCAAGTACCGGAGTTATTCTTAACTCATATATAGCTTCTATCTCATTCCATTTTCTAAATGTTTCTTCTACTTTTAGAAAACAAAAAACACACGTTCCACACACAAAATGTACACCACTATTATCAAGCAATCAAGTCAAGCTTTCTATTTCACACCTATTACATTTAAAACAACAAAAAAATAATTAGAATACTTGCATTGAAGTTCTCAGTGAAAAAGAAACCAGTCTAAAAGTCTAAATCTCAACCCAAGCTTGAGTCTACATCCATAGAGCTGTGTCAGCATTGATTACCATGACATGACCCACTTGTACCAAGCTTCTTCAAAAATAGATGGGCAAACTACTTGTTATGCAGGGATAAAGTTTTCTGCCTATTAAAATAGTATGCTTTCACTAGAGTCTGAAAATACAGCCTTAACATCTGCTTGCACATAAGGTCTGCTCAGACCAGAAAGACATGCAGACGTAACCCCAAGCAGCCACGCTATAGGAATAGATTTTCTGACATTCTTAGATCACATCCTAAAACGAGCACACACCCCATTCCAAAAAGCACACATTCCAAAACACATTTCAGCATCACAACCAAAAGTGTTATCTTAACAGCTGGCACCTCTGGAGCAGCAACCAGTAGGAAATACACTTGGAGCACAGGGAGTCCCATTGGACACAGTACTCGGAAATACAGATGAAAACAAGACAGCTTAGTAGCTGCGAGCTGCACCTACAACCTGCTGCTAATGCTCACCCTGCCCAGAGAAGATCCAGGTCCTGAATTAGCCAGAAAGAAAAGCAAGACAAAATGAACAAACAAACAAACAAAACCCCCACGCTGCTATATACCAGTCGAATGCTAAATTCCAATAGTGGTGTCAAACTAAAAAAAGGTCGTGTAGGTGGAGATTTTCATTTCCAAGAAGCCAGAAGCACGCCTCTAGCACTGAGCTTCTGCCAGTACATTCTGTTTCCCTTTCTGCCACTTTTGGTTTCTGCAATGCATCATTTCCTGTATTACTTTTGCACAAAGTGGTCTTATCAGCTGGAAGTGCAAAATAAAGATTAAACCGCAAGTCAACAGATGACAGTCTGCATCTGCCTTCCCAAATACACATGTCCTTCTGGGAAAATAGGAGCTGCTACTCCAATGGCTGAGCAACCACCAGCCATAGAAGGTTATGTTTCCTCACAAGGTACCAGTGCAACAGGCTAAGCCAAACAACAGGACCCTCTCCAAAAGGCAATCTGGAATCAGTTGAAAGGAAATGAAGTTGTTACCCACTTATCAGCCACTCTTTACACATCAAAAACTACGTGGTTTTTACTGCGTGTTCTGTCTGCTGAGGGATGAGCTGGAATCAACCAACTCTTAATATCAGCACTGCTTTATTCCCCCTCCTCCACTGCCGCTATCTTTTGTGCAATCTTTGGATTGACATACAGATAGACCCACATGCAGCTTGTGAATGGCGTGGGACAAAAATGAGTGTTATACACAGAGCTGTTCAGCCAGCCTTGGGTTTAAAACTGCCATACTTGGGCAAAACACCTAAAAACAAAGCTCTGCTTTCCTGGGCTCACAGTTACCCTACCGGCAACACGAAGCAGACAGTAAAACACTCAGCAAGACTGTTCTCAAATTCCCACAGGAGATCCCATAGGAAACAGCCCGGCTTTGCATAAGTGATTGTTTTTGGTGGGTGGAGAGGGCTGGGACAATTAGGTGATCCTGTGCTGTGCAGAAGGTGAAACAACTCCAAACCCGAGTTTCAGGCAAACAAGCAGCTCTAGCCCTCCCAGCTAACTTCCATATTTGTATCACAGCTCAGGGATGCAGAAAGGATCCCATTAAGTACTTTTCATAAGTGCTCAGCGCAGTTAGACATAAGAAGAGGCAAGAACCACAGCAAATAGAATCTACATAATTGTTACTGAAGAAAGCTGTCTAGTTTTTTAACTTAAAAAATCCAATGTTATTTAATGTACCTTCTCCCAGCATCCATTGATTATTGACATTTGAATTTGTGTCTTGAAAACAGTCAAACATTTACCTTCCCCAAGAGACAACTTTCCAGCAGTTCTCGCCTCCTCTGAGTATGACACTTATTTTTAAAAAGTTTAAAAAGAAAAATGATCAGATTTTGGCACAGAAGCCAGAGAGCTGTCACTTTCCCCCCTGCAAGAGCTATTTCCATTTATTCCCGTTTAAGACCAACTCCAAAGACTGAGCTAACGCTGTGTTAGGTATCGGAATGAACACTGGGCTAACGTTGCGTTAGGTTTCAGAAGAATAAACATGTAGTATCCTTTAGCCAGAGCCAGCAGGCCTGGAGGGGGACGTGACTCAAGATGCTTTGAGGATGTTGCCTACTTCGCAACACAACTCAAGGTCCATTACCTTCATTGTAATACTCAAGTACACACTCATAGGTCAAGAAGACCCCTGCCCTCATGATCCTCATGATCCCTCCCCTGAGCAGGCGTAGCAGTACAAGTATGGAGTCAGCAATATTATAATTATATGTAAATTATGAACTGATCATCGTGAGGAGGACTGAAAAAATTACTAACTGTAACTTCTTAGTATAGCATGGATTGTTCCATTTGGTGTGTTTGATATGTGGGAAACCACTGAGCACCCAGGCTCATACAAACCTGAAATGAATAAGCTGTGTCTCCCCGAATGCACGATTACTGACAGTGCACAATACTGACAATCACACTGGGTGACAATCTGCCCTTCAGACATTACCATAAAGCATATAGTCCAAGCATCTGTTACATCAGGTTGTGCAAGACTTCTTCTGGCTCCTTATTCTTGGAGCAAGCAGCAAAAAGGTTTTGATTTTCTTCTTCACATGAAGTGACTTGTTAAGGAGCCGAGTCTTCTGCTGATTTACTTTGCTAATCAAAG